ATAGAAAATGAGATCATTCCGACTCCGGCGACACTCACGCGTTTTTGTGCCTTTGTCTTTAGTCTTCACATTACCGACTGAGTGTCTCGAACGCTGACGTTACAACTGACGGCGCTTTGGGAGCGTGATCATTTGCTGACGCTTCCAAATAAGTGAAAAGTCAAATACTGGAACGTACCTTTTGGCTGCAAAACTGAGTATTCAGCTTTGCAATTTTTACTTGGTTGATAGTACATTCGACAAACACTGTTGTCCCAAAACGGCAACTAATTTTAGCTGTAAGAGATGCGATGGTGTGACGTCGTGTCAATATTTAAGGGAGAGTCCGCTAATTTGGACCAGATTTTTTTTGTAATCCCATTTTACACATAGTTTTCTTTTGTTTTTGCTAATGTCCATGGTATATAATAAAAGATACATTATTCAACTTACTATTTCATAAGTATTAATTAACATGATTGTTGTATATTTAGCACAAATCAACAAAGTACGAGTTCAGAGCTTCGGTCCAATTTAGCCAACCGGTTCGATAATTTGTACCACAGGGTTACTAAATTGGATTTCAATAAATTTCAAGCCTATAAAAAAACTATGGCAAAATATTATACGATACATTCTTAACAAATTAGGAAACGAAAAGGAACAGTAGTTAATAACATAGACAATCGATATTGTTTTACACGTTATCACGATTTTGAGTACAAGTTTTGTAATTCCAATTATCGTAACGCACACTTGTACCTAATCTACTTTGCCAGTCTTTTGCTTTCATTTATTGTTAGTCAAACATAACTACGCTATTATAACTTCAAAATATGATTTACTAAAAAAAATTTCAAAATCCTTTGGTAAAGTTCCATACAACTTGATGTGGTACAATTTAGCCAACTAGGTGATAGTGCTTTTAAAAAATCGGTAAAAAATATAGCTTATAAATACCGAAAAATGTTTCAAATAATTGTAATCCACACTAATTTACGCTTCTAAATAATATATAAGAAACACGCTGTGATTAAATTTAACAAAATTACAAACTAAATATGTATTGTCAAAAGTTACTTGAAAACAATGAAAAAATACTTTTCAAAATAAAACACACGTGTTTGTTGTCACAGCAAAAACCACATGGCCGATATTAATTTATTTTAGTTGTGTATCGCTGAGTGTTGCAATTACAGACATTCAATAAATACTTTACGAAATATGAGGGTGGTACAATTTACCCGGCGGTACAATATACCGAACTCTCCTTATGAAGAAGTTTACCTTACAGACACGATATCACAATATTGTGGCGTCTATGTGATTGCAATAGATGTAGTTTTTGATGCACTGGCAACTGTAGGAGAAACCAAGGTGAGATGTGACATTCACGATATTCTGGACTTCGTTCGTTTCAGCCGAAAGACGTCCACTGCTGGACAAAGGCCTCCCCCAAGGAACTTATCCTACTAATATCCTACTAATATTATAAATGTGAAAGTTTGGATGTCTGGATGTCTGAATATCTAGATGTCTGGACGTTTGTTACTCTTTCACGCAAAAACTACTGAACGGATTTTGATGAAACTTTACAGTATTATTGTTTATAACCGGTAACCAGTATAACAAAGGCACAACTTATGACGATATGTGACAAACTCCTATAAACTCCTCGCGCTAGGTATGTTCCGTTTTATATTAAAGGCTGCAAAAGCAATTTAGGTCACTATGCCACCATGAACAGACTCCAAAGACAGTATAACAGTCTAACAAGGAACCTCGATCTTGATCTAGATGTCTTTCGGGACAAGCTATCTTCATTTAAGCGCAAAATCCTAAACAGCTTCGCATCGAGTCGCTGGCGAAATGTTATTCCAGCTAAATAATACTCGCTGAAGAAACTCTTTTCTTTAAGTGTAGACACAGTTTATGTATAAGTCCACTATTGCATGCCGTGGCAACCTATAATTAAGGCAGCACTTAGATTAAGTTAAATACGTTGTAAATATTGATTGTCTTCCAGTGTATGTCTTGTTGGTTGTCCTATTAAATAAATAAAATAAAATAAACTAAATTTCACGCGGGTGAAGCCGCGGGCAAAAGCTAATAAGTTATAACTATGCACGTGTTTTACTTCAATCTCGAGCTAACAATTGCACACTGTTTGCGAGGTCGCTGATAGTTGATAGGTTTCCAAAAATCGTCAATTTCACAACTCTCCTCTATCACAACTCACTTCGACCTCTCCCACTTTAACACGACAGTAGAAACGAGCTCTGTTATATTTCAAAACTACGCTGCAGCGAAATTGAGAAAATACAACCGGTCACCACCGGGACTGCGTCGTACTGCAATATTTCAACTTTCAGGCTACCATGTTGAAGTTTGAGAACGCTAGTCTCACACGTTTGCTTATTAGAATGTGTGGAGCATGCCGCAGTGTTGCGATGATACGATTCCCTGTTTAAATTAGAAAAGGATTTATATTTATTGTTTTAAACTTTCATGATCACTAACATAATAATAATTATTATTACTGACGGGATTTCTACCATGTACCTTAATTTTGAGTTTCCGATATTTCGGCATTGTTGCTTGCAAGCGTCTTAGTCACGGAGTAACTGAGGAAACTTGCGGGTGAGATGTTATGGGCAGACATATAAAGTATTTCTATTAGCACTTTCTTTTCGCATCTTAGGCTGGGTTGCACCATCTTACGTTAACTTTAACAAACGTTAAAAGTTTGTCAAACCCCGTACGAAAAACATCGGTGGCAGTCACGGTCAAAATAAGGTGGTGCAACTCAGCCTTAGTAAAAACCATGACTGCGGTTTTTGTTTTTAGATGTCCTTAATTTCTAAAATAAATTCTCTAATCTGTCTATGGCTTCTTAACGTCATGGATTTTATAATACCTACAGTTTTCATCAACAAATAGAGCAGTTCAAGAGGAAGATTTAAATTCATTTATGCATACCATGCGAAGCCAATCGCTAGTATTAATACTTTAACACAATAACCATTTAGTAGCTCGCAGAATTGCGAAAATCAAGTGGCAGTGGGCGGGACACATAGCTCGTAGCCACGCGACCACGGGCTGGAAGACGTAGCGTGGGCAGGCCTCCTACTAGATGGACCGACGATCTAGTAAAGGTCGCGGGAAGAGCCTGGATGCGGGCAGCGCAGCCGCAGGACCGTGCATAGTGGAAAACCTTGGAGGTGGCCTTTGTCCAGCAGTGGACGTCATTTGGATGAAACGCAACACCAAACGGCCGACAACACAACCATTTAGTAAAAAGTTACAAAACATTTTTAGTAAACATTTCCGATATGGAATTAAAAATGTATACGAAAACGGCACAAAGAGGTGAATGTTAGAAGGGACGTCAATAGAGCAAAACTAAAAAATGGTCGCGCTGCAAATTGTGTGTTGTTCGGTGAAGTTCGACGGTCGTTATCGGCTACGAGAGCACCGGCGATGTAGAAGCAATTGAAGAGACAAAATAATAATAATAAAATGATGTGACTATCTAAATCTAAATATACATAACTCAAATATATACTGGCCATACGTTGCCGACTAGAGTAAAAAGTTGTTTGGATCATTTTATTCTAAAATTAGATAGAAGTAAAAACTCTGCATCTATAAACGTTTTNGATGATACCGCTATAGTTTTCTCTGGTTCAACATGGGATGAAGTACACACAGTTGCTAAAAAGGGTCTCGCAGATGTAGCTCACTGGTTGGATAATAATCTATTGACTCTAAATGCATCTAAAACGAAATATATCTGCTTTACAAAGATCAATAGCACTCAACCTGATTTGAAGTACCAAATAAAAATTCACTCATGTAATGACATCGCCAGCCTAACTTGCTCTTGTAAAGCCATAGATAAAGTAGATAAAATTAAGTACCTTGGAGTAATGGTCGATCAACGCCTTACGTGGCATGCACATGTAGACTTATTAATAGGCAGAACCCGTAAGCTTTTATGGGTGTTTAAAACTCTGAGACACGTTGCCGACTCAGTCTTATTGAAACAAGTATATAAATCACTGGCTCAATCGGTCCTAAACTACTGCATTCCAGTCTGGGGTGGAACCACTAAAATCAAATTTTTAGAACTTGAACGGGCGCATAGATCCTTGCTAAAAGTTATCTTTTTTAAACGATACAGGTTTCCAACAGACGAACTATACTCCCAAAGCGGCCTCTTATCTGTAAGAAAGCTTTACGTCTTACAAGCTATTTTAAAACTTCACAGAAACTTACCCTTTAACCCAAATACTCAAAATAAAAGAAGAATCCTGAGTGTAGCACCTATGGCTCATGTAAAAACGGCTTATGCAAAAAGACAGTTTACTGCGAAACTGTCCACTTGCTAACAGCTATCCTACGAACATTTCTGAGCTCTTGCTGGACGTCGATACCAGTCAAATGACGATTTCGTAGAGAAGTTGACATGAAAAAACGGTTTTCCCTCTGCGATGTGCACCGGCAATGTTCAGAACTTGGTCTCGGGATAAAGCCACCGGTATCCCGAAAGCGTCTTCAAACTTTCGAAACCCAGGACTGGCTTATGTGGATCTGACGTGCGACAGCCCGCTGGCTGAGCCCTTCTTGCAATAGTGCAACGATATGTGCTGCTTCTGAAGGTGTAGAATCCCAGGTAAAGTGTCAAAAGAAGCGGAGATGTGTATGGATCAACGTGTGAAAGCAAAAATCCGAAAACACTTGCTTTTATGGGGGGTAAATAGGCCGCAACTCGCGACGTATCAAACAGTTGATACATGTCTTTTTCCTTACTTCTTCACATCAGCCGGGATATCTTTTTAAATACTGGTGTGATTTAAATGAATTTGATATCAATTTAAAGTTAGAAGTTTAATTTTTAAAATGGTGCTACTTTTTTTGTTAACAACAAATTGGTTAGTACACAAGATCGCGTGGAAACAACTTCATGTAAGTGATTCCATACTTTTGCTCTCAAGTGTATAACAATCATTATACTTCAGCGTTAGTTCTGTACAACCCGAATGGATGGATCAAGATATCAATGTAAAATATAAGCCCTCAGAATGGATTTCAAAGGATGAATTCACTTTACCAACATCTGCTGAATTGTGCCTCTTGGTCCCTATGCGTGATGAAGGTTCTACAGACGTTGGTGATGACAATATGATAACTGATCTGAGTAAGAACAAAATAATATTTATTTATGATTTACTAACGCGATAACGGCTAAAAATAGGGGGCCCCGGGCTAGTTGGGTAGTAAGAAATAGTCCATTTATCTAACGAAATCCTTAATTTTCTATGCATTGTAGATACTGTTGGAAAATACATTGTCCTACACAAGAATGACATCATCGATGTAGATGGAGAAAAAAATATGTTGAGCAAACGTGATGGAAATTATTCAGATTTCACAAGTATGCCCGAATCAAACGGTCGAAATGAACAGGTAAAGGTTAAGAGAAATACTTTCAGACTTTGTTAGGAAAAAAATATGGAATGCAAGTCGTTATTATTCGTCGTTGTCGTTTGTTAAGGGTCATCGTCGAGTTCTAGTTCGAGTTTCAAGAGCCTTACTCTCTGGGAATGAGGAAGATTTAAAAGTTTCTTCTCTTGGCTCGGAGCACTTCTTAACGTTACCACATCGGCATCCACATCATGCTCAAATTGACCTGGAAGCACGCGCCGATGAAAACCAACTTATTCGTGTTGGGTAAATTTAGATTTTGATTTGGAAATTATTGAAAATTTGTTAGTAGTTAACTTTGTAACCTTTTGGATGAATATTTTCTTAGATCGTCTGGAAGCATCAATACAATAGTAGCTGATAACTCGCGACGAACTCGTTCTGTGATAACAGTTCAAGCTACTAACAAGGGACTAGCTGCAGCTAGATTCAGGCAAGTCACTTTCTCCTTGGTATGGGGTATACAAAATTTAATTTAAATTTTTATACCTATTAGTTTCACTGGTTTAAGTATTTCAGAAAAGCTGTTATGTGTCTGCCAGTCCATAAAGTGTGTACCTATAGCACTTGTACTGTTTACTTTCTCACCAATTCTTCAGGGTTAAAGCTAGAGATTGTGGACCAGAAATGGCAAGTTTACTTAATCAGAAAGAGAGTGAGCTTGTGGCTGGTCCCACTCTGTTGCCACCTCGACATACGCAGCGTTTTCATCTTGAATTACCCACAGAACTTCCCGTTGACGTAGTGCATTGTTCAGGTAAAATAGTTAAGTATTTATGTAAGTATATTAACTTATGTAGCTTTTACAGTTGCAAAAATACGTAATATATTTTTAACAGTGGCATTAGTAAATGATGATGAAGAATCAGTCGCTGTGAGAGATGTCGCTATTAAGAAAGGGGATCGGTGCTTTTGCGTCTGGCATTGTGACTGTGTTTGTCTCAGTAAGTATGGTTAAACTGCTTCATGGATATACGGTTTTAATGAAGGTATACGTAAGTCCTTCGAACTGTCCTCAGATGAAGATCCAAAGTTGGTATGCCGAGAAATGGCAGATGCTCGACAAGTGGCCGCTGGACTTTCACCCCGCGAACGAAGCCGCCGGGCCCGGTCTGTCTGCTACCCCGATGTCGTGTCCTTGAATTTATTCGTGGTAGCAGTGGGTGTGCTCATGGCCTTATTGTTACTTGGTTAGTGCCATAAAGTGGACATCTCGAAAACGTTCAGAAATCATAATATTATGTACCTTTTTCAATGCAATAGTCTTTTTTCAGGACTAGCAAAAGCCTGTTTAGGCTTGTTCTGCCGATGCGTAGCTAAGTGGGGCTTGGACAAACTAATTCAAATGCCTCGCAAACTGGACCATTATTATGAGCCTGGCCTGAGCGGCCGCTGCGTCGTCTACGATGATGAAGGTTGGCCAGTACATCCTGATACCAAGAGACGCAGCGTTCGTCTAGTACCTAAGTATCTATTGTTATTTTTGTTCCGTTATTTGAAATAATTCAGAAGAAAAGTAGATACCGCGTACTTAGTCATTTGTATAATAGACCCAATCCAACTTATTTCTTTGTAGATTAGTGGAGTTCATATTGAACATAATATTTTTTATCACGGTGCCGTGTATAATGCTGCGCGATGCCGTAACGCAGTTGCTATGTCGGTCCTCACCGCGTCAATGTGGCGCCGCTCCAGATGGGAGAGATGACCAAAAATGCTTCAGCACTCATGACATGCAGGTATTTTAGGTATTCATCTTCCATAAGGTCTTTGAATAGTTCGAACAGTTAGGAATTGCACTTATTTTGAATATTAACGACTTCGTTGATGCGTATTTTGTCTCTTTCATGTTGGAAGTGCAATTCCTGGCTGTCCGTAGGGCCTGCAGCAGCGGTGGCGCCGGCGGCGCGGCGGGCTGCGGCGGTGGATGACTCCGCAAGCCGAGGACCTCTCGACTGACATTTGGAGCAAAGGACTTGCTACACGAAAATCTGTTGAATGTGAATTTGTAAGAAATACATAAACTAATAGAGTTGAACGTTTAATTCAATATCAGGCAATGTTATTTTAAACAATAATATTTAATGTGAAACTGAAGAATCTGAGAGGTCATAAACTACAAAAATACTAATTTTCAGATGCGACCTTTGCTACATGAACGACATCATAGGACTGGCGAAATTGTCTCTTCGTGCGTGGACTCGGAACAAGACGACACCGAATACGTTCTCAGGCAAATGCAGAAGAGCAAAGAGTCACTAGCAGTAAGTCAAGTCAATTATCAATACAATACTGGACCTTAGGTAGGAATTATTCATACTCGAGTAGCGCACGTTAATGTCCAATCGAATGGGAATCGCGCAGGCGCGGTTGCGGCTCAGGGTAGTAGGTAAAAGGTAGTAAGTACCGTCATTTTTCATCATGCAATGTTTTATGTAACGGCGCGCGCGCACGTGTGACTTTTGTCACCGTGTCAGTATTTCTCTCTTTTTCTCTTTTTAACGGTCCAAAAGAAACAGATTGGTTAAATTTGTTTCTTATTTAAGTAGGTAATAAAATAATAACGTTACCACTTCTTAGAAGGGACTCGAGGCACTTGCCTAATATTGTCTATGTTATGATCTCATAAGAAAGTTTTCATTAACGCTCGACTCAACAATGGATTTTATTTGCAGAGGAGCCAAAAGAAATTGAATGAATCGGGACCGTCATCCGCACGAAAGCCGCTGAATACTGAAAATAAGTTATCGCGTACCATAATCCGTCAAAATTAGATAAAATATTTATTTGCTACTAGCTTTCCGCCCGCGGCTTCGCCCGCGTGGAATTTTGTCTGTCACAGAAAAACTTTATCGCGCGCGTCCCTGTTTCAAAAACCGGGATAAAAACTATCCTATGTTCTTTCCCGGGACTCAAACTATCTCTATGCCAAATTTCATCAAAATCGGTTGCGAGGTTTAAGCGGGAAAGCGTAACAGACAGACAGACAGACAGAGTTACTTTCGCATTTATAATATTAGTTGGGATTGGTTACATTACATTCTTGTATTAGGTGCTAGCTTAACTGTTGCCCCATATTTTTAGTGGTGGTTACTTACAAATGTTCTATTAGATTTTACGTTATTTGTATTCAATATTTTAAAATAAATTTGTTATCTTATGAGAGTTTTTTACTTCATTACTTCAGGATTCGTCTCATTACGTTGAATTGGCTTAATAATAAAGGCTTTGCTTATAGCAGTCGCTGTGATGGGAGTCTGAGGTGAAGAAGAAAGTTGAGGTGTCTCAACTTTGATGGGACCTCTGAGCTCCGTCTATTAGATGTTTAGCGAAACAAAATTTTTTTAGAGATGCTTGCGTAAACAACTACATCATACACAAACTTAAACAACAGAAAGATTTAACTACTAATTTATTTTTAAGTAGGACCTAATCTAATGTCTGAATTAAATACGTATTTGGTAAACTTTGTATTTAATTTTTTTATGATTAGAACGATGACCTAATGAGGAAAAGGTCATAATGTTTTGATTATTTTTTACAAAGCAGATTATGGGAAGTTCCATAATTTATTAATTTTAAAGTTTTGTTTCCGTAGAGCCACTCCTGTAGAATTTATTTGTAGCGCCAGAAACTATCGTTTTTCCAAGACAATCCCAGGGAAAGAAAGTTGATGGTATCTGAAATATCTTGAACCATGGTTTAAAAGATTTACTTATCGCTCATCTAAAGTTGAGGAGAGAACACGTAGGAATTACACTGACCACTGTTAACCCTTATTCAAATAAAGGTAGATATATTACCACTTCGTTTACTTTTAAAAAAGGATCCTAATTTTCGATATGGTGATACTTAAAGATATCGTGGTCACTTATTTATATTTTTAAATATTTTTTTTACTTATCTATGCCATTTTACAACTTTTCAACGTCATTTGTCACTGTCAGGTAATGTCAAAGTCAACCAAACGGTTTTGGTGTGAAAAATTTCAAGTTTTTAGCGCGCGTTTTTGGTATTTTTGAAACTTTGTTCAACGAAAATTCTGATGTGTTTTTTCGATTCAAAATCCTAAACTATAACATTTATTGTATAGTCTCACTTATAGGCAGCGTCTGCAATTGATTTATTCATATGGTTTAGACATTTTAAAGAAGTGGTAAATAGTTTACCACTGTCCGATCCCGTCTTGACAAAAGTTTGATGATTATATAAAAATAACTGTTGTTTTTTGTATGCACAAATAAAACTAAATAAATATTTGGAGAAATTTTAAGTCATTTTGATAACTGTTTACGTAACGTTTTGACATTACGTAATTAGTGAATTTATTGTTAGTTTCAGACTCAAGGTAAGCATAATAACTGTAAGCATATTGACCAATATTAATAAATTTTATTTTTATAAAAACAATATTATTTCATTCCCAAAATATTTAGTAAAATATAGGTAGAACCAAGAGGAAGTCACTAGTCAAGAACAAAAAATATACCAAAACGGACAATGGTAACTATTTTACCACCAACATTGAATAATTTGTAGTCATGAATGGATAATGGTAAATTATTTACCACCCAAAAAACTACCCTTTCCCCTATTTTTTAATAAATTTTGATCAAAAATATGAAATAAGTGACCCACAATTACCCAAAATCCACTTCAACTTTGTAAAAAAAATGCATACCAGCTCGCATTTGAATAAGGGTTAATAGAACACAACACCACATTAAGTTCAAAATAACGAATGCGGCAGTTACCTTACCTCGCACCTCGCTCTTGTTATATCTGCAACAATCTGCAAGTTCTGCAACATAGGTCGTCAGCGCAGACACGGGGCTATTCCCACCTCTTCGTTCCCACCTCTCGTTCCCACCGCTGCAACTCCTGTGTTGCCAAGATCTACAGCTTGAACGCTAATAAAAACCCAACGAGTGAAGGTCAAGTTCCATATCCTGTGGTCAAGTTTGTCCCGGGGAAAAGTTAAACCGTCATTGGACCCGCAACGGAATTAATCTAGACAGCGTATCAGATAGAAAACATCAGACCAATATAAACAAAGTATTTGTGCAAACAATCAAAATATTACGTTTAAACAGCGGGAATCAAACCCACGACCTCTGGCACACTCTGGCATAGCAGAATGATTTTTGATCTTAGCCTGAAAAAAGTATTGTAAAAAAACTGTCAATGTCAAAACATGACAGTGACATTACATCATCGCTGTGCACAGATATGGATTAGAGTAGATACAGCAAGTTGCTCCTCAAAGCGTGTCATTCCGATATGTCCAAATGGACATACATGGTCGAGTGATGTTCATGTCATCCGATTGCAATAATCGGTTACGATGATTTTACGAGGACAGTAGTACGAACACGGTAGAAAGAAGAAATTATTTACGGATTGAGAATTGTAAATAACAGCACAAGTAACAAATAATTAATTAGAATAAAGTAGCAGTAGAAAAATTATAAAACAAGTTAGATCAGTGATCGCGGATGACAGAGTGCACTGTTTAACATCGAAATTATACAAATCAAGAAGTTAGGTCAGTGATCGCAGTATACGTCTAGTATACAACGGCACTGGATTTTGTCGTTTATCGAAATATCTTCAAAACTAGGTACCTGACTTAGCTTTATGAAACAAAACGCATTGGCAAAACTACGCATTTTACATTTATTAAAAATAAAAACATAGAGTTGGTCTTTATTTTATGAAACTAGGTCAAGTACTAGTATATTTAAAAGTATGAAATTAGGTAGGTATGAATTACTAATAGTACTATTTAACACAATGGAATAACGATCATTACTTTGATATACATTAAGCACAATAAAAATATTATTTGCAAATTAATAAGAAAATTAATAATATAGAATGACGTTTAACGCTACATTTATTATTTTAATCCACAGTCAGACTAGCTATAAATTTAACAAAATATCAGTTTTATCGGAATTAATTTTTTCGATACGAGTTACACGATATCTTTCGATGACTTTGCGAATGCAGTACGATGATACGATTATTTTTACGTTGCGGCAATCACTAAAATTCGCTAAAATGACACTAATGACGTTAAAAAAGTGGCACGCTCGTCTTCATACAAATTTTTTGACAAGCTGCATCTATCCATATCTGTGTCGCTGTGAATTCAGTCATCATCGGACACAGTGTTGCCAGAAGGTTACTTTTGTAACCTTTTTGGTTACTTTTGAACTGCTGTGGTTACTTTTAGGTTACACTAATGAAAAGGTTACTTTTAGGTGATTTTTCAGAAATTGTAGAATTAACTTTACAGGTTATTCAATAAAAAATATTAATAGTGACAATTTAAAAATTATGTCATAAAGTGCATTTAAACTTGAATTTGATTTATTATGTGTTGAAAAAAATGAGTTTTAGCGAATGTTTTTCGATAATAAAACGCAAATCCATGAAACGTTTTTATACGACTGGTCACTTTTCGTATTTAGATGATCAATTGTATTCATTTTCCATCCATGAACAACCTTACACAAACATCGCTCCGCACCCCCCCCCCCCTCCCCGTATGAAGGTTACTTTTTATTCAAAAAGGTTACTTTTTTTTATATTTCTGGTAATTTCTGACTAGACCCGACTGGCAACACTGATCGGACACAAATTCAGTTAAAAAATCGCTTTTTTTGGGCTTCAAAGGTGGAATTTACTGTCCTATTTATCTTATCACTCTAGTTAAACATTTCATATTGCGTAATTATTTAAGATAACATATTAGGTAATGTAAGTTATGCGTTTATTACTGAGACCTATCGTTGTAATCAGACAAATTCTACAACCAAATAGAAGTATCCAGTTGAGACATCCCTTTACAACAGGTAAGACGGCTTTTGTGATTTTTGTTAGCATCGCAGTGCATGTGTGTGTATCGGTATTTAAACACGGAAACACCTCGCCATCGTAGTAATCTTGGAACGGTGCCAAGAGTTTTATTCAAACATATCGTCTAACGCCGTTTGGTTTGTTCATTTAGCGCTTGTTTGGAGAGCCATGGAAGATAAAGAGTCGCTAAAGAAACGTCTGACACCAATACAATATCATGTCACACAAGAAGCGGGTACTGAAAGACCTTACACAGGTTTGTAAGCCTTTTACATTTTAGCATTCATTAACTCCTTTAAATCAAGTGCAAGGTTACTCTACTTTTACAAATTAATTGCTTTTTATGAAGTGAAAGCTTTAATTATTTCATTGATGCTGACCTCCTTTAGTAAATAAAAATGTTAATTGATGCTTCATTATTTTAGCACCTACCTACATACTTTCTCTTAGTATTTGGTATAATTGCACTAGTAACAATGAGATAATTGAAAATATAATTACAGTATACTAGTCAATTATAAATGAAAAATAATATCAATTCAATATCATGTTAAAATTTAAAAGTAATATAATTAACTATTCATGAGCATAAATAACATTTTTAGGTTTCAGATCTGATAAATATTACTTTATCAGACATAATTTTAGATAAATAATCTGATTTTGTTTTAGGATGTTACAACAAATTTTATGAAGATGGCATGTATGTGTGTGTAGTCTGCAGACAAGATTTATTTACTTCTAAAACTAAATATGACTCTGGGTGTGGCTGGCCGGCTTTCAATGATGTGCTTGCCAAGGAGAAGGTCACTCTTCACCAGGACACAAGTGCAGGTATGTTCTTATAAAATAGATCTTGCGTATTATGAATGGCATCCATAATAATATTTTGTTATGATAGCCTGTATGTGTAATTCTATTAAAAAGCATGTAAGTACATACTGTGAAATCAGTAAAAATAATAAATCATTTCATCAGCTAATTCTGCCTAATACCTCTATTCATAAATGTTGATAAGTCAGTCATATCATACAGAAGGTTTGTGTATCTTGTCTGTACAGTTTACATTTAGTCCTTTTCACTGAAGTAAACCATGCATAGCCAATACCATTGCCAAAGAATAATAGATGACATTGATTGGTTTTTATAAACAAGTTGTGTGGTTACCATTCTACATTGTGTAGGTATATTTACAGAGAACACAATTTTAAAAATCATTCCAATGACATTTATATTCTCAATACCTTGTTATATGACCTTGATTGATAGTACAATATGTATTACTATTTTTCCTTTACCAAGTAAGGATATAGCCTTACTGTTACCTATTTAAAGTAACTATACTACACACACACTACTTATATGGAATGTTTGATGCCATGTTGTCTGTGCAAGGCATTCACTATTTTACTATTATCAATATGAAAGATTTAATTTTTCTAGAACTAATATTAAAAGCACATAATATTTTAAATTCCTGTAAATACTTTATACAGAATGTTATGAGAGTGGGTGCGGCTGTAAAAATATGTTAGTTTCTGAAGACCAGTTTATATCCATTGTCTAATATGATGTGTATAAAATCTAATATTATTATTTGATCATAAAATTCTACATTCTGACTGAAGATGTAGGATCAAAATCAAATGTCATCCAAAAATAGATGTTGTTCAACCAGTTTCACAAACTAGTCAATTGTTATTTGAGGAAAATATGTTAAGGATATCTCACAAAATTATAATATGATGATGCATATTAGATAAAAAAGTAGACATTTTATTGGATATGATGATGTAAGAAAAGACTGCCTAAGAACATCTTTTTGGCTAACAATGTTAATGTGGTTCCATTTAAATTTTGAACCTTTCTTCCACACACTCTATAGTACACATAAATATAATAATATCTTCTTCATAACCAAAAAAAAACAATATTGATATTTTGAAAAATAATAGTAGGTAACTATACAGATTTAATGTATGTATATTATGTCATGTCTAAAGTGTAACATTTTTTAAAATCATAATTCACTTTGCATTATATTTTTATTTTAATTAAACTTTTTTGCATGTAAGTAATGTTTTATAAATGCATTGCCTTACAAGGAGCAAGTCCACCATTAATCCATTGACACTTATCAATAAATCATACTGCTTTTGCTTTGCTTGATTATTTGTATACTATAATATGAGGTAAGTTTATTCAAAATTAATTCACACATAGAATGAAATACATAATTTATCCTTTTTTTAGTTTTTGTAGAAATCCATGTGATGATGATTGATTGATTAAATTTTTAAACTTAATTTCTAATTACTCTTATTTATTTTGTGTACATAATTATATTATTATAATACGGATATTATGTAATTTATGTAATATAATATACAATTACACTTTAATTTATTACATTATTAGGTAGGTATATGAAACATACAATTTTAAGATATGCTCAAAACAATATTTAAAGATTTAGTAAACAAAAGCAATATAATTACCAACTTAATTTATTTTTGGTGTTGGGAAATGGATATTGGTGCTAATGCGTTTTTTTATCTGTTTTCTGTCTTTCTCCCTGAACCTTTGACCACAATCCGATACAATCCTGTCTCTCCACAACAAACGTAAGTCGGCCTCGACTGGTAATTCTGTATCTGTATGGTTTTATTTATGCTTCATTAATACTATCAAAAAATCTTAAAAAATTGTGCTAAGCGCTGTTCACAACACAATACGCACCGCTCTTTTTATTCACATGCCATTGTGAAATATTTTATCATGTTCACTATTCTGGTTGGGTGGTCACAAACAATACATGTGCACACATAATAACTCTATCTATTATATTTTATTTGTAACAATGTTTCGTCTTCATTTGCTAATGGAATTCAATGTCATCTATTATCATCTAACTGTTGTGGAATGTGCATGACATTAATATGCATTCACCTCTCCCTGAACCACCCGCCCTGTCCCCTCCCGACCTCGGATGCTGCCACGGACGTCTCCGCGCGGACTCTGCAACGGCGACTACAATACCTCACCACATCAACTCTAAGAACATCATATTGGATGCGCCCATATCATTCATTTTTATAAATATAAAACTTGTGTAAATAACTGGTTTTGTTGGTGAATGGACACTCCTAAATAAAAGTTGGAGCAAATATATTACTGGTTTTAACACGGCCAGGTTTGGTGCGAACTGAGGTGCGATGCTCCAAGTGCTCCGCTCACCTGGGACACGTGTTCGATGACGGGCCGGCGCCCACCAAGAAACGTTTTTGCATTAATTCCGCGTCGTTGGACTTCATACCGGCTGAACAACGTAAAGACTAAAATAATTGTGATTAAACGATGAAATTACAAATATAACAAAATTTCATTATTACTACATTTTGTGCTTTTATAAAAATGTACTATCACGGACGCGTACCCTGTACACGTACCGCCTAGAATAAAGTTTCTTTGAATGTAATATTCTTTTGTGAAATTCCGTCTTTATGTGCAGCTTAATTAACAATCACTTGTTTTTTGTAAGCCGATTGAATTTTAATAGTCATTTACCGTTAATCTACCTGGCGATCTATATTATGATTACAATGATGATACCTACCTGTTACCCTACGTTTGTGATTAATTAAAATGATATTAACAACTGTAACTATCAGTAGGTACCCGTGTCAGCATTTAATATTCAGTTTGTAATACATGTGAATAATATAATTAGTAGATAGAAGATAAATGAATAATATTCATTATAAGTAAATAATTTATTAAATTGCTTTGTTACCATAACGAGTCATAGTTTACAATCTGTTTCGTTTTTTGTTTTGATAAAATTTATGCTTGCATCAGTACAAATCGATTTTCAGCGTTGTTTTTGTTACGTAATGTAAGTGTAAACTGAAGAAGGTTTTAATAAATATTTTTGTAATGATTGCACTTCTTGTTTTTATTTGGCATGTTTACTCTATATTTCAAATATTTGCAGGTCTGCGTAGGTTTCTGCGGTAGTGGAGCGGTGCAGGAGTTTTTTTTTGTTACATGAAACATCAGCGAAATTTAAAAAAAATGCTTAGACTACTCTGTTACGTCTTGTCAGTCGTCAAACCTCCCACGCCATTTCACTATCGCAGGAACTTGCTCAGTTATGCGCTATACAGGGTGGAAACGATAAGTGATCTCGCTCCATTATTTCTTAACTATACAAGATATCCAAAAACTGATTACTGATCCTGAAAATGCTTTACGAGCTCTATCCAACGGTACCAATAAAAGGTTACCAAATAAACTGGATCTATTCGAAAATTCAGTGTTTCCGGCTTCCATACATTTAGTAAAACCACAATATAATATTAAAAACTATACAAGATATCCAAAAACTGGTTACTGATCCTGAAAGTACTTCACGAGCTCTATCCAACGGTACCAATAATAATAGGTTACAAAATAAACTTGATCTATAGTTACTATACAAAATAAAAATTCAATGTTACCAGCTTCCATACATTTAGTACTGCCACAGTCATGGCACTCATGTCTCGATAATATTATAGCAAGTAAAGCCTAAAACCAATGTTTTTTAAATAAGAATGCAATTTGGAGTTCAATTTAAGTGTTTATTATTGAATAAAAAAAAATTAACACTTCTTATATTGTGTGGCTTGCATACATTTAGTATGAAGCCTGAAAACATTGAATTTTCGGATAGATCCAGTTAATTCTGTAACCTATTACTGAATTTACTGATACCGTTTGAAAAAGCTCGTGAAGCACTTTCAAGGATCAATAATCAGTTTTTCGATATCTTGTATAGTTTAGAAATAATCGAGTGAGATCACTTATCGTTTCCACCCTGTATATGTCTGTAGTAGATACGCATTTTCGTATTCATAATTCAAATTCTTGCCATCATAGTGGCTTCGACAAACATTCCTATCACTCATAACTAGGATTCCAGCCAATATACTACCTACATTTACAGTATACCTACAATATTGTTTTCCTCAATCGAGCTATCCAGAGTCGATGAAGCGAATGACATAAAAATATTGCACGGTTGGCCGACTTCACTAAACACCAGCGAAGAAGACTATTCCTATGCTAGGTGAACCGAACCCCTAAAACGTCGCCTTTTAACTAATGTTATACTTGGCTAGTATAAGTACATTAATGCAACCCTTCATATAAAAAACGACTTCATGGACATGCATACATTATTTAAAATTAAAACAGTAAATATTTTTTGTATTTATAAAAATAAAACAAAAGTATGATCATGGTGAGTCTTTTATTATAGTATGGTTGTAATTAATATGCACAAGTTGCTCATACATGGCACTGGTGTTTTACAACTGACAAAATCATGAAAAATGTTCTAATCACATTAAATGTCTTGTACAATAATCCTATTACATGTATTAATACATTTCAACTTAAACTATATTCATAATTACAGTTACTTTCTCAACTTATCATACTCTAATCCATACTCAAATTCATTTTCATGATCACATAGTTAATACACTTCTTATTTATATTTTAGTTATAGATACTGAATAACTTTGTTCAAGCTCTCTTGAAGATTTGGCTATATTTTTTACATTTCTACATTATTGCACAAGTATTTTATGTTGTTTTGGTTGGTGCATTTAATTAATATTCTTCAATAATTGTATTAGCGATAGGCCAAAACGATCAATGATTAATTATTAAAAATATTTTAGGCCGTAAATCAATAAAATTAGCGTAAACTGGTACGTCACTCCGTTGAAATTATATTTATTATAACATTACAATAAAAATAATTACGTTTAAATGTTAATCGTAGCATATGCAGTGCCAAAACTTAATAAAAAAGGATGTGAATAACTGCACCAACCTAGAACGACTGCACAGACTAAATAGCGTTAATTGGTCACTTTATATTGTCAATGAGTGAACTACTCGTTTCTAACCTGTGTCTGTACTATTTACAGCAGACGAGATAATGTCCCGCGCATCCTACCCAAAACAAGTCTTCATCAAACGCACATCGCTCAACACTCATACCTTATAACCAATAAAACTGTAAATACACGACAAAATAAAATTTAACAGCGTCTGTCGGCACAACCTAAACAATAAAGCAGAGAGACCGCAAGTCTTAATATAAAAGCAAAAATACTTCATGTAGCTGTATTTAGAAATATTTATTAAATAGGTACTAACTAGGTTACTATTGTCGTAATATAAAGTGTAATTAGATGATAAAACAACTATCATGATCTATCTAAATGTCGTTTTTCTGATGACTGAATGGATTCGTCAATGAAACCTTAGAAATACAGTTTTGTGCCATTATGGTGAATTTGCTATTCATAATCAATGTATGTTATAAACTTTATAAACTTAATACTACGTAAATGCTTTACCTTCATGACTAACAATACATGATACAATTAAAATATTTTATAGGCCGCCTTCAACAAATATACAAACCTGTCATGTGGAAGTTAAATTGGCTTTTAAAATAGAAATATGAGAAAAGAACTAGGAATCATTTGCATAATATCGTTTAACTAGAAGCAGAATGAAACTAGAGTTGAGGTAAAACAGGATACAAATTCCGACACTCAAGACAATACTTAGGAAATGACAAAGCGAAATTACATTATATCGCAGTTATCTGCGTCGTAAATGACACATAGGATCATATATTTGCTGTAGGCTTAAGACAATGCATACATTCACAATGCAATGGCAGGCTAACAAACATCAGTCGCAAAACATTACAAACAAACAAATTCAAAGTAATAATAATTGCCTGTTGATCTAAAAAATACCTATCAACCATAGAAATAATGCGTGACTAAAATAATAAAAGTCGACTCAATTATAATCTCAATAAGAAGTCATATCCGACGATTTAATAAATAATTTGTATACACCGGTTAAACTATCTTAATATCTTTAACTACCATAAGCAAGTAAGCAAATAGAAGCCAACAAATCATTAATATAATTAATACGTTAAAAATTAATATATAAATATTACGTAATTTCGTCACTCCATAATAAAATTTATGTGTTAAAATATTACTTTCACATCTTACTTAATTTTCTGTTACGAAAATACACAAGTATCTAATGAAAATGCGTAACCCATTCATTCACTCAAACATCATTCGGTCACCATCGCTCAACGGGCGCCGCCCCTCGCCTCTGTATTGAAGTGTTTCCGCCTACCGCTTCCTTATCAGCTACCATCACAGTGAAAGCTGAAACAGTACTAAACGTAACGGACCTACCGTATTCTACTATTTATACTTTACAAGATCACCTAAACGTAACTGCCAGTCTTCGGTCGCAGCTAGATTATTTCGTAGTTTCTCAATTCGTATCTAAGTAACTAATGTCTATCTAGTATCTACATCCTAATCGATCCCACGGAATAACAGTCGAACGAAACACGTCAATAAGAGATACGGAATAAATAATGCTACCGAGCGTCACTACGCTTCGGGCGCCGAGCCGCGCTTCCCTTGTAAAAATATGGTCACTATTAGGCGGCCGGCACCCGCACAAAAAATGCTCTAATTTTCTTCCTAGAATAGCTCGGGGGAGGGACTGACCGACACTCGCGGCGTCGGGACGCGCTCGAGGCGTCTCGCTAGGGATACTTCACGGGTATTATCACAATGGGTCAGTATCGTTCGTGGGGGGCGCGCGCGGCGCCGGCAGCCGGCGCTAATGGCCCTTCGCCGCCTCCTTGGCCGCCATGATCAGCGGCGTCAGCGACGCGAGCGGCCGCGCCATCTTTAGGAACGGGTGCTGAAAGACGATAATCGTAAGTATTTTGGTTGGTTGCTTTCAGGTTCAGGACATAGTTTCCGTAAGTTGTTTGAAGTCCTAAAAGTTATCTAAACATCTACTATTCATTTACAATCTAGGGATTGAAGTTAGACTAAATTCATCATGATGAATAAGAAATTTATTTATGAAGCAAATGGGAGTATTAATAACGAGGGGCTAGCGGGAGTATTAGTAATTTGTGAAATAACAAATTACTAATAATCTTTAAAAAAGAAAAAAAAAAAAAAATGTTCCCAAACACAAATTGCCGCCCAAGAAAAACCTAAGGGCTTACCTTGAGTAGGTCGAGCGCGGTGGCGCGGCAGTCGACGTCGACCTCGAGGCACTGGTCCAGGAAGTCCTGGAACACGGCGCTGAGCTTGTCCTTGTCCTTGATGTCGGGCTTGCCGTTGGTGGCGATGAGGTAGAGCGCGCGCAGCGGGTTCTCGTTGAGGTACGGCGGCTCGCCCTCGATCATCTCTATCGCCATTATGCCCAGCGACCACACGTCCACCTGCAAAATAATGTTTATTTAGTAGAAGTAAAGTCAGCGTCAAATAATTCGTGACATCCAAAGTAGCCAATAAGTTCGCAACACGTCTTTGTTACAATTGGAATAAGGTTGTGTTGACAACTTTTTGGCGCTTTGGGTTTCACGAACTATTTGACGCTGACTGTACTGATGACGATACGGCAGAAATTAATACTATGACATCTTAGAAACTATTTACTACGAGTAGGTTACTACGAACGAGTAGGAGCTATTATTAACCGACTACAAAGTCTACAAAAGGAGGAGGTTCTCAATGAGGGTTTTCGCGATTGAAAAATCCGCCAGATGGCAATACGTAGACGCGAGGTCCAAATGCTGCATGATTGGTTATTTTTGACATGACATTGACAGATATGTCAAAATCCACCAATCACGCACAATTTGGACCTCGCGTCTACGTATTGCCATCTGGCGGATTTTTCAATCGCGAAAACCCTCATTGGGTTAGTGTTTTTACAACAATAATTTGATAGGCTCTTGTACACAAAAACGATAAAGTATCAAATAAATAAAAGGGACACAAGATGTTAAAAGTTATTACAAGTAAGAGTTCCAA